TAAATAAATGAATAAATAAATAAATAAATTTTAAAAAAGTAAATTTTCTGTACCTGCTGAAATCAATTTTGTCAACCTATATTTGCCAGGAAAATATTGCTTTTATGGAGATTTCATCAAACTTGGTACTCTCCCAATTTTTCCCTCTTCAGTTTCTGTGATTAAATTCCCTGGGTCACTACATTGGCTTATTTGCTTCCATCTTTTCTTGGATACTAAGTGTTAAGTCAGGGAGAACAATGTTGTAACTTGGAGGCTGGAGGATACCATACGCTACAAATGAAGATCGCTTCCTCTTGAGTCTTCATTTATACCCATTTTTGTTTTCCTTTGCTTTCCCCAACACTAATATTTGAAGAAGAAAATACTTAGGCCTAGAAAGAGGCTTAGATACATCTTGTTGAGCTCCCTAATTCACCAAGCCCGGGACAGGACTTCTACCTTTAGCAAATGAGGACCCGGGAGAAGTCAGGCCCCATCAGACTGTTCTGGTCTGTTTCTCTTCTACCAAAGTCATAAAATTCATCTGTCTTGGGATCTCATTTTAAGCCATTCTTTGTAGAATTCATTTATCCCGACAAAATGAAGTGTCAGGCAGGGAAGAGGACATCTTCTTATTCACTTCTGATGCTAGGCTGCACACGGGGGAAGACTGTAGGAAGGCAAGGGACATGGAATAGGACGGAGCTCAGCCTCAGCCACAGGAGTGTGGCAGACTGAGGAAACACACTTAGTGGGCAGAGTAGGTGCCTGTGGTGTCTAAGCACAGTGAAGGAGGCAGAGCTGTCCCCAGCTCTGTGACCAGATGGGGACAGCAAACTCTCTCGTGGGTGGGGACTTTTTAATAACATAATTACTTCACATTGCTCACTTCCCACTTGTTCAGAGTGTGTGTGTGTGTGTGTGTGTGTGTGTGTGTGTGTGTAAGTGAGCAGATGTTCCTGCTGCCTCCTTCTCAGCAATCTGCAATTAGATCTTAAGAGACAACCTGCTCGTGGTGGTTAAGAGGCATCAGCCACTTCAGTAACTATATCTGTCACAATTTTCCTAGCTCATCCTGTTCTAAACCTTATCTCCAAACTATACTCAAAACAAATATCCACAGTTCCTAAAATAGAACAGCCTTTTTGGGGGGCAGTGCAGAAGCTGAGCCCAGGGCCTTGCACACGCTAGGCAAGAGGTTTACGGTTGCTCTACACCCTCAGCCTCCCCCAATGAGCTAAATTTAATAGCTCTGCTTGGTCTCTGGTCACCATCACAGTAGTAGATTTTTAGAGTTGAATCATCACTAATAATTAGCAAGTGCATCCCCTGGGAAGGGCATTGTAGAAAGGTCTTCATAAATAGCATAAGCCACCGAGCCCACACAGGAGCTCTGTGAGGTGAACAGCGCCATTCTCTCCACTTAACAGATGCAGAACCTGAGAGGCACTGCAAAGTTCCACAATGTGCGTCTAGAAGGGGACAGAACTGGAATCTGTCTTTAGGTCTCTTTAACTGTACCACTCTGTACCGCTCTCATAGCTGCCGTATGTCATTTGGCCAGTAAAATGCTAACCTCATACTAAAATAGGGGAAGAAAGTTTAGGCAACGTAGCCAAAATATGATACTGGTTTTAAAATAATGGGAAACTTTTTATTTTTATTTATTTATTTATTTTTGGCAGAACTAGGGATTGAACTCAGGCCCTTGCGCTTGTCAGGGAAGTGCTTATTCTACTGAGTCATCTCCCTGGCCCCAAATAGGAAACTTTTTAAATAGGGAGTCTCAAGAAGAGAAAGCTTTCTACTGCAAGGGGGCATTTAGAGACGCGCGGGGTCATCTAGCGTCATCTTGGTTGTTAGGCTGACCTGTTCCCTTTGTGGGTCTTCAGAATACTCCACATCCTATAGGTATAAAACAGTACCAGATGACCAGGGTTTGTGTAGCACCACATGTCAGACAGTACTGAGAAACACGAACGGAGTGGGGCAACTGCAAATAGACATTCAGATCACAAGTGTCCTCCTTTCCTAAATAATATAGTATAACAACTACCTCCTCTTCTAGAAAATAAGACCTATCTGGAAAGTGAACAGCCTTGAAAACTAGCAGTCAAAAAGGCCAGCCCAAGTCAGCCCAGGCCTGCTTTCCCGCAGCACCAGAGCGGGGCCAAGTCTCCTGCAGCAAGGGTGGAGAAGCCCACGGTGGCCTTGTGGTGCCTCTTGGAACTGCAGTGGTGGGGCTGAGAGGATAGGAGAAGGGCTCGTTCCATCACCGACAGGAAAAGAATTCTCCCATTGAGAACATTCTCACTTTTTAGCCCCTATCCACTGGTCCTGTCTGTTGAATCCACAGAAAACAAAGAGCTCAGGCCTGGATCCTGAATCCACTTTTGCACATGGAATTAGTAGAACCTTTGGAGTGAAGGATGATGATAGATGTACTATGTTCACTCATGTGAAACTCATGGTACAAGGGTTGAGAGGCCTTTGGAAGGAGGTTCCAAGGTTGGTCACATAGGAAAGAGGATGCCAAAATAAGTGGGGGAAGTGAGCTGCTCCCAGCTTTTGACACCCCTCCAAAGGAAAGGCATCCCAAGGGCCACTGGCTGCATGAGAGAGTAGAGGAGATGGAGCTGTCTTCTCCCTGGAGACGTCCAGATGCCTGACGCCCACAGGCCTACAGAGTCTGGGATGATGAGCGCCACAGACTCTTTCTTCCCTGCTACTACTTTTCTTTCTAGTTTTATTTGGTGTAAGTTTTGGTACTAAGAAACCTCAGTGTAAAAACTGCTAATAAAAAGTTTCCAGGTCTCCTCCCATTTCCCTTTACTCTTAGAAGCCCTGATTGGTTTTGGTTGTGTTTGTTTTTGGTCTTTTTGAGACAGGGTCCCACTATGCAGTTCAGGCTGGCATTGAACTCACTTTGCAGCCCAGACTGGCCTGGAACTCTCAGCCATCCTCCTGCCTCAGCCTCCCAAGTGCTGGGATTACAGTGGAAGCCCTGATTGGGAAAAGAAGCACTTGCAGCAGCCCGGGGTTTTAAAGTTCACTGTCTGCAGCAGGAAGGAGGTGGGTGGGTTTGGGGCCCTGCCTCTGCTTGCTAAATACCTTTCAGAGCCTTCAGGGTGATCTCACCCTATGGAAAGCCACACATTCAACAACAGGTTGGTGGAACCCATACACTGATACTTTTTAAATAAATTGGTTATTTATTTTTAAATAAATAAGACAGTAGGAATGTGTGATACCCCGAAGCCCATGGAAGCTGTGGGTTTGTGTGAAAGTGAGTGTGTTGTGGTGCATGTGGTGCATGCATGCGTGTGTACGTGCATGCGTGTGTGTATGTAGTTCAGACCTAAACCTCTCCAGAGAACCTGCATGGGCCCTTTGCTCGAGTGGAACTGCTGTGTCTGCAGTCGCCAGCGACACTCCTGAGGCGAGGGCAGCAGTTGAGAGCGTGGGCTTCGGAGTCTGCGCTCTACACCAGGCCTGGCCTCTTGTGGCCTCAGACATGACTCATATCTCTGAGCCTTCCATTGCTTGCTCTAAAAGGAAGCAATTGTACCTCACTCAAAGAACTGTCATCCTCAAAGCAGAGAAGAGGGTAGGAGTGGGGGGCAGCGCCCGCTATGGGTGACACTGAGTGCCTGTTGGCTGTTAGGTACTGACATTGTCATTGCCTGTTTTATGGTCAGAATCTGAAATGTGGGGAAGCCTCAAGCCTGACTCTTTTTATCTGTTACCGTTCCTCCTGCAGGTACCCAGGAAGATCCTGTTGGCTGCCCTATCTGTAGCTCCTCCCAGACCTCTGCTCGCTGCCCCTCAAAGAGGTTGAAGCCTTCTACGACTAGCAGCTGCACAGCCAGAAACTCAGCAGGAGCATGACCGGGTGAGGGACCCAGGACTTTCCAGAGAGGCAGAGGGATATGGATTTGAGGTGGGGTGGATTTGTGATTGTTTTATCGACTCTATCCTTCTCCTCTCCCAACAGAGCAATGGAGCTCTGGCATGGCATAGTGATTGCAGTGCTGTCCCTTGTCCTCCAGGCCTGCCTCCTCACTGTGGCTGGTTACCTACTCAGCCTGCGCATAGGTAATAGCCCAACCCTTCCAGGCACCCTCAGCGCCATTTCCCTGCCTGCAGCAGAGGGTGTCCCTTTGGACCCTCTGAGTGTCACTGGAAAGCTAATTTGAGGACCCACTGACCAGATCAGTCCCTCTGCGCCCCTCCCACACCTTGTGATGGGGTCATCTCCATTCTAACCTCACCATTAGCTGTCCTATTGAGCTGCAGTGCTGGTGTGGAGGGGCTCATTCTACCTGGACTCAGCTAGTTTTTGTTATCATGCCAAAGGCTGGGAATGGCTGTGAGTTGAAACAGAAAATTCTGGGAGATTCGTCGAGCTCCTTGGGCCGATGTACAGTAATGGTACAGAAGGTCTGTCCTGGGAAAGCACTCTAATGAGAGAAAACAGTGCTGCTTTGGCTGTACTGAGTCAGGGAATTGGTCATGGTGATGTTTCGAGGAAGCATATATTAAAAGAAATCCTGCCCTTTCTGTTCATTTGTTCATCCATCTATTCGTTCATTTGACACATTTATTGAGATCTTAGGTACCAGCCAGGCCCAGCTATGTGACAGGAAACAAACCAGAAATTCCTCCCCTATGGAAATTCTACTCCATGGGACAAGCAAGACAGCAAGTAACACAAATGTATGTAGGGTATGCGAGTGCTAGGGAGGAAATAAGAAGAGAAGCACACAGACAGAAAGAAGGCAGGAGGGCTCCGGAGTGCCTGAGCGCTCGTGTCTGAGCAGAGACCTGCAGGAAAGAGCCACATAGCACAGGCAGAAGCAGGAGCCAGCCAAGCACACAGCAGCAGGGGTAAAGAGGCTGGGGCCAGAAGCAGCATGGGAAGGAAGCAGAGGGAAGCCAGAGAGGAGGGGCGTGAGGTCCTGTGGGGGGTGCTTGCAGCTGGATGTGGATTTTTCAACAAGTAAGGAGAGGAGACAGCAACACAAGGTTGGGAGCACAGTAGAGTTGAGATGTGCATGGATTCCTTGGAAGGTCAGCTGATTGAAGGTTGGTTCAGAAGGCATTTGGTTGTGGAAGGGGCGCCTAACCCAGGCAGCTATAGATTCCACGTGATCTTGCCCTCTTTATTCCAGGCCGGCAGAATGAACGGATGCTCAAAGAAGCCAGGCTGCAGGCCCAAGGGCCTGGCCCTGCACCCCAGCCCCCATCAGCTGCCAAGGAAACCATGGAGACTCGGACAGAGAGAAGCACCCCTGTGTCTGCTCCCCGCTACAGGCGTGAGTCAGAAGCAGGGGCTTGTCCTAAAGCTTACTGCACCCTGTGGGGACACCCAGGAGCCTCCCCAACACACCCCCAGCCCTCCTTGAGGAGGGACTCTTTAGCTAGGGGCCTCCTCACACTCACAGAGTCACAATCTTGCCAACCAGCCTCTCCCAGGAAGGTGTCATCCTGTACATGGGGAATAACCCCAGGGTCTGTGTAGGTCTGGGGTCATTCCTGTGGCTGCTCACGGGTGAAAAATTGCAGGGGGGCTCAGAGCGTGTCCCTGTTCCTCGCATGCTGCCTCTCCATCTTCTGCTCCTCCAGCTAATGGTGGAGCTGCGATTTCAATCATCCCTGCCTGCCCCATCTTGGCTGCTGCAGGGCAGCTGCCATCTTTCTGACCAGTTCACAGCTGCTTGTGGAAGCTAGCCACAGCAACCCTCTTCACAGCCTGAGACCTGCTTGGGGATCTGAGCATGTGGATAAATATGTGTCCTGCAGATGGTTTCATCTCTATGCCCTATTGTAAGAAATACCACCCTTCTAGTTTTGTGCGGTGACCTTAGGTCTAATGTACCCTCCGGCTCTGCAGTGCCAAAGACCAAAGGCAGGACCTTAAGCACACTAGGCACACCCTCTACCACTGAGCTACACCCTTAGCTTTGTTTGTTATCTCAAGGTTTGGGAGACCTAAAGGGTCATTAATGAAGCTGAGGCTTAAGTGGTTGCTTCCCCAACAGAGATTGCACTTTTTCCACTGGTTCATCTCTTGATTGATTGATGTGAGTTTGCTCTGTCCTCCTGATTTTATCTTTTCAACTGCGATAAGGCCTCTGAGTCTGTGGGAACCAATGAGTGCAACTTTCAGGCCCCCAGTGTTTCTCGGCATGGGGAAGGTACTGGCCTCCCCCCGACCCCTGGCCAAGGAGCTTTGCCAGTCTGGCCACAGAGACCGTTGAGCTAGTAGGAACCTCAAAGGTCACTGCTCAGCTCCCTTACTTTACAGAGGAGACACACCAGGGCACAAAGAAAGCTAAGCTCCCTAGAGCTAGTGACAGCTTTAGGTTGGTGCCTGTGCCTAGGACTTGCAAGTCTAGAGCAGTTTGCATTGGGCCACACTGCCTCGGCTTATCCCTACTGGCAGATGTCTGCTCCAGCAGAGTAAAGCCTGTGTGCTTTTGTTTCGTTTAGACAGAGCTGGAGGAAGCAGTGGTGCATGGATGCTGTACACATTCCTGCCGGATGCTAGATGCTCTCTTGCCCACCACTCTTTCTCTGCTCGGTTTTCTCTTCCTCTTTTGGGGTGTCTGTATCTCTCCTCCCACTTCTCTCTGAATTGCTGGTCCTGCCTGCCCTTGCATGCTCCCTTCCACCGTCTCCACCTTCTCTTGACACCCCCTCGCTTGCTTTGAAAGAACCATGTCCATCTCTCTCCAGGTGAGAGCAGCACGTCCTCAGATAGCTCAGACAGCACGGACAGCTCCCCTCCCACCTGCCAGGTAAGGACAAGCTCAGGGAGCTCAACCTGGATTGCAGCCTGGGGTTCCTCCTGTAAGACAGGGAACTCAAGCCACCCCAGCGGTGTGGATGGGAATGATAAGGGAGGCCTTAGCATCCCCAGCTGTCGTGCTTCCCCCTGTAGTCCCATATCAGCGTGGATCAGCTCAGCAAAGTGGGTCTGAGCAGACCGTGAAAATGAAAGTGCTCATGGGAAGCCCACTTTCCCCAGGGCCTCAGTCACTGGGCCTACGCCTGCACTGGATCCTGCCCTCATTTTGTGAGTCTCTGCATCTTTCCTTCCTACCCACTGAGCTACTCACTCTGAAGCCTGTTCTCTGCAGACAGGTGGGACCCAGCCATTAGCAGCTTCCTCACTGCCCTCGCCCTGCTCTCACAAATGGATTCTCATTCTTCCCACCACGTCTTGGGCGAGGCTCTGTGAGTTAGAGCTCAGTCCTAACCTTACCTCCGCCAAGCATGGTGTAAACCTTGCCCCACACATCTCTGCTTTCTTCCCAGGTCGCCACAGATGTCCACTACACACAAGTGGTCTTTTCAACCTCTGGAGGACTAAACAAGGAATTTGCCCTGGACTATGAAAACATTAAGGAAGCTACGGATTATGTCAATGTCAATCCACAAAGCCACAAGCCTAATTTCTGGGCATTTTCAAATCCTACTGTCTCTGAGCCAGTGGAATATACTCAAGTGGTTACATGAATTCTAGGTATTTTGTAAATAAGATACAAAATATTGATTGATTACTGGATTTATTTTGTATGGAAATTCCTTTAAATTAAAGAAAACAAAAAGGGTTGGGAAGAAAAATAAGTCTGGTGTCAGCAAGAAGACTCTAGGTCAGATGTTAGGAAGAACTCCCAAGGACAGTTTGGAAGCACTGGTGTGGGCCGGTAGAAAACACAATGTGATCTTTTTAAAGTTTTAGTCAGCTGCAATGAAGTTGTATTTGGAGATCTTAAGGTTATAATGACTTCATTTTAATTATCTGCAATAAATAATTTTCTTAAAATTTTAAGTAGAATTGCAAGCACCAGTTCCTCTTTTTCTCTTGCCCAATCTTGCACGTTGACCTTTTTATCAGCGTTGCCTTTTGCTGTGTAATCCTGACTTGCCTTCAGAATTTCAAATAGTTCACTTGCAAAGCCTACCATGAATGAGCCTCTGAGCTCGCCAGTTTTTTTCACAAGCTAAAGA